CCACAGTCGGGAGCTCCATTTTACATCTCATCCAAAGGACAGCACCTTTTTACAGTATGGTGTCCCTGTCACTATACTGGAGCATTAGGACTCACACAGACCACAGGGTTAGCACCCCCTATCTGCTTCTCTTCCAGCAGCAACCTTAGTTTTTTCCCCAGGAGGTCTCCCATCCACGTACCTGACAGGCTCACACCTGCTGAGCTTCAGTGGGTTGCTAGTTGTCAGTTGCAGGGTGATATGGGTGCTGGGTGTAGCAATGTATAAAGTAATTTGTAAAAACAATTCACATCACAAAATAGAGTATTTCCAGCTATAAACAGAACCACGTTCTTCCATTAAGAATGAGGCAACTTATGGGGACCTGGGCAGGGCCTGTATTCCTATTTTCATTCGGTAAATGATGAATGCAGTTTCCAACCGAGCTCATTAATTGGGTTCATACTATACCTACCTTGTATGCAGTGCAGCCTTTAGATGCGACAAACAAAAAGGTAATTTATAAACATGCCATTATGCACTGGGAAAACTGAATCTGTACTATAAAAGCTTTTCATTAGTAGTCAAAATTAACACGCACTGAATACATTGGACGCCTGTTACCCCACCATCCCGCAATTCAGCGGAATGATGAGGTCTTTTTCATTTTTTATGTATTTATAACAGAAATGAAAAGAAAGGAATGATCGATGTTGATGCTGGCACGGCACGGTAAAAGCTGAAGATTTTTACAACAGAAGCAAACGTCGAATCTTTTTTTCGGTTTTAGGATTTACTAATCTGCCCGAAAAGGACCGACGTAAACAGCTGTCGTAACAGAATATTCCCACCTGCAAGTGCTTTTTCAGAAGCGTGGCTGCTGGATGGTGCAATCTGGAAACAGACTTGCAAGGGGAGCCTGTGATCACGAGCCGGTCCCGTGAACACTCAGCCAATCTTATCTAACCAGAACCTCGTGGAACCAATAGCTTAATAACAATCAGAGTCACCATGTGAAAGCGTCCAATGAAAACTGTGGAATGGGCATCTGTTAATCGTGCGCTGTTAGAAAGCGGCGCTGCAGAACTCGGGGGGCAGCTGTGAGGTGTGCACGGGCATAGGCGACATCTCTAAATCACGGCAGAACCAAGCTGTACCATCATGGAAAAAAAGCAAATTGTGAACTTTGGTGCCGGACCTGCCAAAATTCCACCTTCTGTAAGTGTGTTGTCAAAGCTTTGATTACCGTATCGAAACCAATGCCCATTGAAGGCGGATTTCACATTTTCATCAGACTGCTTGGCGCGTTATCAACGTAGTACTTTTACTTTCTCTCATGTGTAACAGACGACATTTGAGGATTGAAGGAAACTAACTTTTTTTTCTCATTCTTCTTTGTAAAAAAAAAAAGGAGAGAATACAGCTAGTCCATTGGTCAGTAATGTAATATACTTGTAACTACAGCTTGTGTGCAAGATGAAATTGATGTTTGATGTTTCTAAATTTAAACCTTACATAATGCATGTGAGTTACTTAAAAATGTGTCCTTAAATTGTTAACAAGTATAATTGCGTCAGATTTGATAAACTCGTTAGTTCTTCGTTGCATTGTTTCTTGTCAGCACTAGAGGGCTCTTTACCCACTTACAGAGGTGTCCTTTCATTTTAAACCCGGGATCTGCACATTAATACAGTTGTGCACTGTGCGGGGAATTACGTGTATTGTGTGAACTTCATCGATTTTGACTTAAAAGGGTAAGATCTACAAGTGTTTCACAATTGTATTTAGC